CTTCACCATAACTCTAGGAGGTATCATCCCATTTTATAGCTGAATAAACATAGGTATACGATGTGGAGGTTAAATAACTTGCCCAAAGTCATCTAGCTTCTAAAGAGACAGCAAGCTTCACTGAAGCAGGCTGTCTCCAGAAGCTACACTCTTACCTATATGCTGTACTGACTCTCACTGCACATTGTTTACTTAGATGAAAGTCCTTAGGATGAGGCCCTGAGTTGAAGCATCTCTTGTATACTCTTATCACCAAGCACAGTGTCTTAATAGAGATGGCTGATAAATAAAGAAGAAATTGACTTCCAACAGCCTCCATGATATTTCCTTACCCACCCAATTTTTCTCCTTCTGTTTTTCTACCATAGCCTCTTCTCTCTACTCCAGTCACACTCTAACTGTTCCACTCTCTTCATTAAACCACAGCTTAACTTCAGGCTATAGAATCTAAATACCTTAACAGACATTTATGTAGGGTCTACTCTGAAGCAGGCATTGGGTAAGATATAGGTGAAACAAGGATGAATAAGCTATAGTTCTGGTCCTAAAACACACACACACACACACACACACACACACACACACACACACACTAAAATGAGAAATGTAGGTATTTGGAGGAATGCAGAAAGTTGTTCAAAGCTGTTTTTTTGGAGAAAAATGATGCCTGAGTTTGTCTTACAGGTTGAAGAAAGGGGCCAAGTAAAGAGGGTGGATAAGAGGAAAGGGCAGCATTTTAGGCAGCCGAAGCAAACACAGAGCATTCAAACATTTCCAATAACTGAGTGTGAATGGAACTAAGGTGGCAGGGGTTTTAGTGGTGGGAAAAGTGGCCAGATCATCAATACTTTATTAAATGATGCTAGTATTTTCCCTCCAGAAAGCAATAGGCTGCCTTTTGCTATTTCTTTAGAAAGATGACTCAGGTAGCACTATAGAAGATGGTTTGGAAGGGGGAGAAAATGGAATCAGGGGGTGACTTATAAAATTGGAGCAGGCAGGAGAAATGTTTAAGTGACTGAGGCAGTGAAGGTCTCTCTCAAGATCCCACCCTGCACAGACAAACTCCTCTGATTACATTAGTATTCAATTCCAACTTCCTACCCCACCTCCACCCAAATTTCTACAGTACCTTGTGAAATCTGCCGCCCAAATTTTAACACTTAATTATCTTTTACTTTATTCCCTAATTGTTTCCTGCAGTGCATCACACAAGTCTCCCTAATTAAAACATTGCAATAAACGTGTATGGAATTGAAATGGCCCAAGGCCAGATAATGGACTCGGCCGCACGGGCAGTCAGGCCCAGTCCGCTGCTTGCAGCACCGGGATGGTTGATTGAGTCATGCCACCCTCTCTGGCTGATCCAAGTGTCGCCTCCTCCCAAGACCTCGCAGGAGGCGATCGCAACAGTGCCTTGAGAAGCCACCTACGGGTGTTAGACCCGCTAGGATCACCAGAGGGCGCGTCTGCTGAACATACAGGGATTCTCACGGCGGAGCCCTGAACGTGACTCTTTCGGGCCTCTGCGGCTGCCGTAGCCCCGCACAGTAAACAGGAAGCAGAACTCTTCACCTGGGCCTCGACATTGGGGTGAAAAAGGCCCGGGCTTCAGGAGACACCCGTCCACAGCTGCTGTTGCGTACGTTTTCGGGGAGTCAGCGCTTTCCTGCCTCCCTCGCCCGGTCCTGCTCCAGTCGAGGTGTTTTGTCCTGAGCCAGCTCCCATCTTTTTATACAGAAGTGTCACCAGAACCATGGCCGAATACTCCTATGTGAAGTCCACCAAACTCGTGCTCAAGGGAACCAAGGCTAAGAGGTAAAGGCCAGAAGCGTCCGCCCTCCGACACCCCCGTGAGTCTCGCCGGAGCTTGAGACAGCTGTCCCGGGTGGACCATGCGGCGGCTCGGTCCCAGCGCCTGTGCCGAGCTGGGGGGACAGGCCGCAGACACAAGCCCTAGCTGTCGCACCCCGAAAAGGAAGAGACAGGACAGCGAGAGCAATAACCCAGGAGCCACAAATTTGGCTCCTCTGATGAGCGCCCCCCCCCAACCTTTTTGTTTTGGATCTGCATTCATTTGATGATTAAGGCCATAACAATAGCTTCCGTTATTAAAGCTAATTATTTTCGCCATTGTCTCCTTCCCCCCTAAAAATAGTTATTAATTTGTAATGCACTGTGCAGGTGTGGATTTTGATAGGGGGCATGGGCTCGAATCTGGACTCCACCAGTTAACTAATTTTGTTATTTGTGGCAAGTTAGTTAATATCTTTGAGCTTGCATTTACTCATATATTAAGAGGGATTAATGATACTCTAAAAGGACTAATATGAGGATTAAATGAATTAACGTGCAGTAAATAAATAGTGATTGTTAGGTTGTTTTTTTTTTAGGAAAAGATATTTGCCCACTCATATCTCCACCACTTTGTAATTGGTAGATTTACTAGGGGTTGGTTGTTCTTACAAATGTTGAGTATTTCCTCCCGGTCTCAGTGATAAACAAGAGTTTTTGGTACTTTTAGTTGAAACGGAAAGTGTCAAGGAGTAAGCTGAATGAAGCCCTTGAGAACTCTCTGCCTAAGGGTCTGGCACCATGAGGAGTTTGTGCAAAAGAAATCTGAAACTTTTAACTTTTTAAAATCTCTCCTGGGATTTTTTTTTCATTCTTGAGATACAATTCATATACCATAAAATTCAACCTTTTCAAGTACAATTCAGTGTTTTTTAGTATATTCACAAGATTACCACTATCTAGTTACTGAACATTTTCATCACCTCAGAAGGAAGCGCCTTACCCATTAAGCAGTCACTCCTGCCATGCTCCCCTTCCCCGCCAGTCCCTGGCAACCACTAATCTGCCTTCTGTCTCTGTGTATTTGCCTATTCTGAATATATCATATAAATAGAATCATACAATATGTGGCCTTTTGTGTCTGGTTTCTTAGCATAACATTCTGAACGTAATCTATGTTGTAGCATGTACCAGTACTCATTTCTTTTATGCTGACTAGTATTCCACTGTATGGATAGAACTCATTTTGTTTATCCGTTCATCAGTTGATAGAGCTTTGGGTTTTTCCACTTTGGGGCTGTTTATGAATAATGCTCCTATAGATATTCTTCTACAAGTTTTTGTGTGGACATATTTTTTTCATTTCCCTTGGTTATATACACCTAGGAGTAAAACGGTTAGGTTATATGGTAACTCTGGTTTTACCTTTTTGAGGAATCCCAAGCTATTTTCCAAAGCAGCTTGCACCATTTTACATTCTCAGCAACAAGATAGGAAAGTACATACTAACTCTTAATCCTCACAGTAACTTTTAAGAGTTGGGTTAAATTATCATCCTCATTTTACAGGTAGGGAAACCGACTGACAGAGAGCTTAAGTAAATCACAGACCGAAGAAGTGACAGGATCAGGATTTAAAATGAGGCAGGCTGGCTCCAGAATCTGTTCTCTTAACCATATTCAATATGTACAGGATCAGAAGGGACTTCTCAATATTAAAGTAAGAAGTATATCAACGTAAACCATTATAAATCAGTAACTTGTAAATCAACGTACAGCTTACAAGATTCTTCCAAGATTCCATCTCATGATATTTAATATGCAAATCAATATATCTAAACTCATCTATATAAATTATCTCCTGTAGTAAGAAAAAGAAGAGCAAAGAGAAGAAGAGAAAAAGAGAAGATGATGAAGAAACCCAACTTGATATTGTTGGTGAGTCAGTTTTCTGTACTTTATTCTGAGAAAAGTTAACATTGGTTGAGATCCCTTAAAAAATATTTTCTTAGTTAGAGATAAGTAATAAGGAAATAGAAGGAATTTATAACCTACGCATATTTGTCTTAAAGTGCTCAAGTATTATTTACGGTTGTAGATTTCTTTTATTCTCTGGCACGGTAGATGTCCTTGGATGCCTTTTCTTCATTATGAGAACAAAGCACAGGAGAGAGGATACATAGCTCTGATTTAATAGGTGCCCCTAGACTACTTAATAGCTCAGAGAGCCTAACACATAATTTTAAAGGCCTGATGTAGATAAATGTTATTTGACCAAATGTATTTTACATATTACAGTAAGTCCTCACTTATCCTTGTTGATAGGTTCTTAGAAACTACAACTTTAAGCGAAAGGACATACAGTATAACAAAACTGAGTTTACCTTAGGTTAATTGATATAAACAAGAGTTAAGTTCCTACAGCATATATTTCTGGTCACAAAAACATCACCAAACTTCTAAATAAAAAACCCCAAACACTTCTAATATTAAACATCGAAATAAATGTGAGCTACACATACATTTAAGAAAGATTAATAAAACAAGTAAGATACTTATTTTCCAGCCCTGGACAGGACACCCTTCCATTGCAGGGACACTCACACCCACACCCACACTCACTCAGATGGGGACAATGTAGACACGACAGTCCACCTCATGTGCACATCTTCGGGATGTGGGAGGAAACTGGAGTATCTAGAGAAAACCCAAGTAGATATGAGAACACGCACACTCCACACAGACAGTGTGGCTCTGGCCAGAATTCAATTTTGTTTTCTCACCAACAGTATAAAGAAACAACATTATTCAAGGACCTGCTGGTTTTCTTTGAATGTGTGTGCCTTTTAATTGTAGAAACCAGTGATTTGTGTATCCCTAAAGGAAATCTTCGCAGTAAAAATAATTATTTGATAGACTATGAAATGAGTGAAAATCTTAATAACAGAAGAGAATCAAGGTAACCTGTGAATGGTACCAGAAATAAACTGATTTTAAATACACTTAAACAGCCTGTTTTCCATGTAGTCCTATCCTTTCCACACCTATACTTTAAAGCAGTTATTTCTCTTTTAAAACTTGGCAGGTTACATTTTTCAAACTTCACAAATTATGTTTCCTTTACATTTTATATGAAATTATATAAAGCTAATATTCTAGAAAAATCTCACATATTTTTGAAATAACAAATCAACAATCCTAAAATTAGGGTAAATAGGGCTGGCAGAGTGGCTCAGTTGGTTAAGAGCTCGCTCAAGAGTGCGAGCTCTGAGCAACAGGGTCACCGGTTCAATTCATGGCCCGAGCAGAGCTGCCAACAGGTGGCAGGATGGCTCAACTTAAAAAAATAAAATTAGGGTAAATATCTTGGGTAGATATCTAGGTGTAGAATTTCTGTATCAATAGTCTGAATATTCACCTATATAAGAAACGGCCAAAGATTTTCTAAAGTGTGCCATTTTACACTCCCATCAAGAAAGTACTAAAATTCTGTTAGTTTTTTCTCTCAATCTGTGGTTTGACTTTTCATTTTCTTAATGGTGTTTTTTTGTTTGTTTTTGTTTTGTTAGGTTTTTTTGTTTGATAAGCAAAGAAAACAAGTTTTTTAATTTTTGTGATTTTTTTCCCCCCCCTATTATGGCTACCACCTTATTTCTCCATTCTAAGAAATCTTTGTTTATCCCAAGATCATGTAGATGTTCTTCAACATTTTATTTTAAAGGCTTTATAGTTGTGGTTTTTATATTAGATTTATGACTCATCTCAAATTAATTTTTGGTATGGTGTGAGGTAGGGGCTGAGGTTCTTTTTTTTTTTTTTTTTTTTTCATATTTGTAGCCAGTTGTTCCAGCGTGCCTGTTGAATAGATGCCCCTTCCCCATGAAACTGCTTTAGTATAGTTGTCCAGAAACAGTTGACTTTACATGTGTTGGTCTATTTCTGAACTCTGTTCCATTGGTTTGTCTATTGTTCTTTTGATACATTTGTCTTGATTACTGTTACTTAATAAAGTCTGGAAATCAGATGGTGTGAGTCCTCCAAATTTATACTTCTTTTTCAGGATTCTTTTGACTATTCTAGATTCTTTATATTTTCATACAAATTTTGTAATCAGTTTTTCACTTTCTACAATAAAGCCTCTTGAGTTTTCTGAGGGAATTGTATTGAATATGGGAAAAATCAACATCTTAACATTAACCCTCAATAATTTGCAATTTTTAGTGTAGCATTCTTGCCTTTTTTAAATTCTTAAGTATTTTTTTAATTTTACACTACTGTAGATAGAATTTAAAATTTTTATTTTCCAATTGTTTGCTGTTAGTATATAGATATACAGTTCATTTCTGTATATTGACCTTTAGCCTGAGATGTTATTAATTTAATGGATTGTATCAGTGTCTGTCTGATTTTTATATTGTACTATGAACGTCAACGTTATGCAAGATGTAATCATTGAGAGAAAGTAAGGGGTATATGAGATCTCTGTATTACTTCTTACAACTGCAAAATAAAAGAGGTTTTAGAAAGTAAGTTATAATAATAACAGCAACAAGAACCTTCTGTCAAATCTAAAACGTACATTTGAAATATTGATTTTATTTTTTAGGAATCTGGTGGACAGTTACAAACTTTGGTGAAATTTCAGGAACCATAGCAATTGAAATGGATAAAGGAACCTACATACATGCACTTGACAATGGACTTTTTACACTAGGAGCGCCACATAAGGAAGGTTTGTATCTGAAAGAAGCGATGGAAGGGAAAAGGCCACTTAAAGTATATATTTTACTAAATTTGTTCACTTAGCCAAATTCTAACTAATCTCAAGTATATTCCAAAGGAATGAATCCATTGCGTTTGACTCTTCCACTTTTTTTCCTTCCTCTATCTTTACCAGTTATTGGCAACTCCCTCTTTCCAATATAAGCATTTGAAATCATTCATTATAGTTCCAGAAGAGTATCTGTGGAAATCAAAAACAACATAATTCAAATAATATGCGCAAAGAAAAAGACCTGGCCGAGTCAAAGATTTGAATTCCCATATTCTTCAGACCTTTTGCCAAAACTAACCTTGAGCATCGTTAACAATTTGAAGTTTTCTGATTCCCTTTTAGCCCATCAGAGGAAGCGTTAATGAGATGTGAAGTAATTAGAAGATAAACAGCCATATATTTTGGTCTGAAAGCCCGTCATTGGTTTTTTTAAATATTAAGAGCATTGGTTTTTTAAAATATTAAGTGCTTATTTGTCTACATACTGACTGCATTTTAAAACATACACACACAAAATACCTTGGAAGTGAGAAGTGTCATGCTGACCTATCTTATTAAGTATGTAAAAATAACACTAGTTATAGAAGATAAAGTAGGTCTTGATAATATTAATACTATATTATAATTATATTCTTGTATTTATTTTTTAAATAGCTACTTAAAAGCTAAAGAGTATTTTTATGTAATTATTTATAACAAATATTAAATTTATTTCAAAATGTTTTTTCTCCTGTAGTTGATGAGGGCCCTAGTCCTCCAGAGCAGTTTACAGCTGTCAAATTATCTGATTCCAGGTAAGCTTCAATTGAACTTATAATTAATAATCTTTTATTTCTTAAATTTAATTTCATTCATTAAAAATTCTAATATCTAGCTAACATACGCCCACAGGTAATTTTGATTTAAAAAACATTTTTTTGAAAAGTGTATTTTGTGACATTTTAAAAATAAAACATTATATATCCAGTAGATATTTAAGTATTATTAAATTACATTTGCAGTAAGTGTGTCTTTATAAGAGAATTAAAGCCCCAGATAAAAGCATATATTATGATTCCTAGCAATATATATTACTGTGCTGGGAAAAAATGAAGATTAATAATATCACAGAGCAAATAAGATATAGGTTAGAAAGATCATGTGAAGAAAACATAGATAAAGCTATCTGCTATAGCTATGATGTATAAATTCAGTGGTCAGAAGTCAAGAGACAAACAGGATTATAAAAGAAAGGAATATTGTTTAAACTCCCAGAGAGTGTCACAGTCATAAAGACCAAAAGAGGGCCGGCCGAGTGGCACGTCGGTTTAGAACTGGCTTGGGACGCCAGAGGGCCCCAGTTCAGATCCCACATATGAGGGCCAGTGACACTGCCCTCTGCAGCTAAGATGGTGAACGGCAGCTTGACCTGGAGCTGGGCTGCCGTGGGTCTCCGGTGACAGCATAGGCTGCAGTGCCCTGCTGCAGTGGGTTGCCATAAGCTACTGTGTGTAGCCAGCAGCCAGAGTAAGTGGCCAGCAGCCGCCATGAGCGGCCATCCAGAGGCCAGCGACTGATCTGCCTCGCCCGGGAAGAGCGCAATGATGGTGCCACCTTGGGCCAGTGAAGCAACGTCCTCCACAACTAGACTGAAGAACAAAAGGACAGCAACTTGTCTGTTCCCCTTCCCCCGATTTCCCAGCGCTGTTCTCCTCCCCCAATTCCCCAATAAAATCTTTAAAAAAAAAAAAAAAAAGACCAAAAGAATTTATTCACTATGTTTACAGTCATTTTATAAGCTGACCTTTTTTATTCTCAATGCAAAAGTACAGAATGATACTTTGGGTAGTAGATACAGAAATTTCAGTGTTCTAGTAATTAGCTACACCAACATAATGACTTGTATTATATTATCATTAGCCTATAAATGAGTATAAAGTCAATCCCCTGGTATTATAGGGGATTGGTAAGCTAAAAAATTAGAAATCATATTTTTTTGTTTAAAAAGCCTCATTTGATGATTATTTCTATACTTTTCTTTGAATAGCCAGTAAGTATGGTGAATGACTTTTAAAGGATAAAAGCAGAAGAAGTATCAATAAACACAAACTTCTTTTCAGGTGAAAACAAAAAATATTATAAACAAAGTAAATAGTCAAATGAGGAAAATATTTTCAGTGACCTTAATAGGCAATGAGTTTTTGCTCTCCCTATGTATGTACAGGATATATAACACTAAGAAAACAATAAGACCCCAGTAGAAAATGGACAAAAAGATAATTTAAAAACTAAAAAGAAAAAGAAGTACAAATGTCACTCAAAATAATTAAAATACAAACTAAATAGGATACCATTTTTCCCATATCAGATTTTCTAATTTTATTTAAAGCCATAATGTTAACAGATCTGTGGTAAAAAAAAGATACTCTCCTAATTTGAGCATGAAGTTGATACAAATTTTTTCTTGAAAACAGTTTAGCAGTATACAATAGAAGCTTTAAAGTTGATGCATTTTGATCCAAAAATTTCTCTAATAGGAATCTCTTCTAAGGATAAATCAGCAATTTTACATACAGAAAAGGTAACAGCAGCACTTTTTAAAATAGCAGAAAAAAAAATTTTAATACACCTATAATAGAACATTATATATCCATTAAAAGTAGTATATTTGAAGAATAATGAATTTAGAAGACATTTGCTAAGATATAATGCTTATACTAGAAAGCAGAATATAAAGTTATATATATTGAATTACACCGTACAATATGGTAGCCACTTGCCACATGTGGGTTTTGAATATTTGGACTATGGCTAGTCTGAATTTTTACATACACACACATATTATTTTTATGTTCCATATTTAATTTTCTTTTTCTCAGTTTTTAACGTTTATCTATTTTATTACCCTGAAGAATTGCCCTGAAATCTGGCTATGGAAAATACCTTGGTATCAATTCAGATGGACTTGTTGTTGGGCGTTCAGATGCAATTGGACCAAGAGAACAATGGGAACCAGTCTTTCAAGATGTAAGTGCTATTATTACTTATAAAAGTTTCTTGTCAATGTAAGAAAAAGTCTTTAACAGTCAGTGAGAGCATATATTCTAAAAAACAAAAACAGAGTGCAATAATATAATGCCTGAAATTGAAAAAAACAGATATGAACTCATAACCTTAAAAATATCTCAAAAAATAGTGCAACAAAAATAGCACTAGTACCTTTGCCCATTGTCATTTCTGCACACCCTTGGTGCCTAGATTTGGGTCTCTTACTTTTCATTAAAGAACCAGCATTCCTCAGAGGGTGATCAATTTTACATCTTAGGGCAAGGAAAACAGGATAGTTCAGGAATATCTTCTTATTAGCAGAAATTTTGAAAGAATGCTTTCAAAACCATTAGGGACTGTGGTAAGAGGACAGTGGAGCAAGCTTAAGGGGATAGCCATCGGCCAAGTTGTGATAGTTCCTGCTTAAAATAAAATAGTGATACTAATTCTTTGAAATTTAGTCTGTAAACATTTTTGAGTTCATAATGAAGCTCAAAGAGAAAAGCAAATAGTGTATAAAGGATAGTTTTAATACAAAAAAAGGAAGATATATTAATTTTTTTAATTAATTTTAGTAAGTAGGCAATTTGCAATATATTGCTATTTTGTTAAGTCTATGTTTATTCAGAATACGTAAGTTCCTTTTTTAATTTGTGTAAGCAGTAAAGATTGAACAAAAATATGTGAGAGCTAAACAACCTCCAAAAAGGTAGATACTATATCAATAACAGGAAGGACCAGTGGGCACCAAGTGAAAGAAGAGGAGGTTGGTAGTTGAGTAGCACCAGTGCTAATATACAATAATGAGTTCAAAATAGGATCCAACAGTATTTCCCAAGATGATAAATTAGCCAGTCACTCCCCAAAAGAGGTAATTACTTAGATTTGTTCCCCCGCCCCCTAAAACAAAATCTGCAGTCACTAACTTTCAAACTTTTTTGATTCCAGTCCAGTGAGAAAAACATTTTTACATTGCAGCCTACTATACACATATGTGTAAATGAAGCAAGAATTGTACTTAACAATACTTATTTATCTACTTGTCGTGCATCCTGATAGAGTCTATTCTATCTTACCTCTTTTACTCTCTTTTTTTTCCCCCAATTCTGATGAGGACCCACTAAATTGATTTTATGAACCACTAACAGATTGCAACCCCTGGTAGATGATCCTACTAAATGAATGAGATACTTTTCATAAAAACTGGATCAACAAAAGGCTAGTATATCATGAGGTCAGGATGAGGAGTCAGGAATTACCACTCATACAGAACTTTAGGGAACTTCACTTCGCTTTATTTTGGGGAAAGACACTAAGTTTTAAAAATTTAAATTTAGATAAAGGAGAGACTTTAAAGTCCCTAATGTGAAAGTAAAACTTCACTGCAAAAAGTGACTCAGCTGAAAGATCAACAGCACAGGTTTAAATCGTCTCGGACTCTACAGCCATTTCCATGCTCACCCAGAGTCGTCCAGACAGAAAACCCAGTCTGCGCCACCTTCAATAAGAAAGTAAATCCGGGGCCGGCCGAGTGGCGCGATGGTTAAGAACTCGCTTGGGATGCCAGAGGGCCCCGGTTCGGATCCCACATATGAGGGCCAGTGACACTGCC